TTTTCGGGTTTACATGTATAAAATCGTTTAAGGTGCCATGGAAGTTAACTGGAAATGACGAAACAGGAAGTGACAAATTTTTTTGCATTTTTAGACATTTTTTGAACAAAGATAACAGAGTTCTGGTTTGACCTCCAGTCAATTTAACTATTTCCACATGTCATTTATATGACCAGAAACACAATGAGCATGGTTAGAATGACCCTAAACATGATGAAATAACCTTTTTAGCCCTTTGAAAGTGTGACTGAAAAAAGCTAAGAGTAGGAGCGTAGGGAAGGTCACTGAACAGAATCTTTTGAATTTTTCAGAAAATGTGCCCAATATATTGCTCTAAACGATACAATCTTTGAAAATTTGATATCATTCATAGAAAAAGGAAAAAAAGGAAAAAAATGATTTGAAAAGCGTTCCATTTTCTTTTTTATGACCACCATTTTTGTTTCAGACAATTTTCTAAAATTTCAAAGTTTGTATCAGTTAAAGCATTATATTGGGCACATTTTCTGAAAAATTCAAAAGATTCTGTTCAGTGACTATCCCTACGCTCCTACTCTTAGCTTTTTTCAGTCACACTTTCAAAGGGCTAAAAAGGTTATTTCATCATGTTTAGGGTCATTCTGACCATGCACATTGTGATCCTGGTCATGTAAATGATATGTGGAAATAGTTAAATTGACTGGAGGTCAAACCAGAACTCTGTTATCTTTATTCAAAAAATATCTAAAAATGCAAAAAAAATTGTCACTTCCTGTTTTGTCATTTCCTGTTAACTTCCATAGCACCTTAAATTGTTTATGCAGAGCATTTTCATAAATGGTCCAACAATCTTTTCTATCTTTTCTAAACCTTACGAAATTGCAAAAGATTACTTGTTTCAATATAAACTACTTCTTACCCTTGCCAAATCGTTGGCGTTTTCTTACTGCATCAGCACGAAAGATGAGTATCAATCCAATGTAGAAACACATTGACGGTATTGCAGTACATGCATCCTCTGTTCATCGTATATAGGTATCAATATAAGCATATAACAAGGGCTAAATGATAAAGACCGAATGCACCAAAAATAGACGCATCATGCTAAAACTGTGTATAAACGCTTCGGTTGCTACTCGCAGAATAACACGATCCCATCGTGCATCCACTCACATAACCTACTCATGATCACATCATGTTATCCAATCAGTTGAAATCGCGTTCGATTTCACTAACGCTAAGACGTTATATCAACCGGAAATAAAATAATTCAACTCTAATTTCAAACGTGTTGAATTTTAACTATCCTTACTCGGTTTGTTTATTTTATGGTATGAGGAAAGTAGTTCTATTAAAAACCTGTTTGGGGACTTCAATGGTATACTACAGCACCATCTTTGGATAGAATTTTCCTTCATGAAACTTTTACAACATAAGCAACACATATCTGACCGTATTCTATCCAGACACCCGACTTAGTATTGACTAAGTTATGGTTACTATGGTAACCATTGTCACGGATATGCAGGGCAACCTTAAGGGTTCATGGTGACTTATTGTTATACATCAAATAAACACTTTGATGAATAAAAACTGTTGATATGGTCAAATCTTGATGTTGTCAGTTTGAATTATAATCTAACAGCGGTGAAAAGAGATCTGAGAGGAATATCGCACTAGAATCTCAATCAGCGAATGTCTGCAGTGAACACTGCACATCCTTAGCCACACACTTCAAGAGCAATATCGACCTACCACCAGGATAAGGCCCCTGCTCACAGATCCTCTATTCTCCTAAATACAATAACAGAGCTTGGCATGGAAGCACTGCCCCACACAGCATATTTCCCAGATAAGGCCCCACTTGATTTTGTTTTACCTTATGTTGTGAAAGTTTCATGAAAAAAAACAGACCAAAAGTTATAGCAAAATTAGCAATACTTATTGAACGCCCTGTACAAGTATAAATGAATACGCCTTGATGATGAGTTCATTTACCCCTTTATAATTAACCAGATTGTTCAAGTGTCAACCGCTTTTGATATATTTAGTGTTATCTTTGACATCTCAATTTACCTTCGTCGATCATTTCCCCCGTATACATGATATAATGGCTTTACAGGTAAATTCCCCTCGAGATGTAGGGTAAAAACTATTAGTGCTTGATGGTTTTTTGTTTCCTCATGAGAATAATTGGGACATTTATGAAATTATGATGAGAATTTTTGTATCATCAAACTTCCGGTTACTAACTGATGTGTACATCTTTTAAGCGTATTTGAAATATAGATCTTTCATCTATTTTATCGTTTGATCTTTTGCTCTCAAAGGGTGTAATCCAAACCTAAAACTATCCATTATAAGACAAAGACGCTTACTGGCGTAGATGGTGTCATGTAAGTTCAACGGGAAACAAGACCTGGGAATAAAGTAAGAAACGTCGGTGCAGGAGTTAAATGGCACTGTTTGAAAAATTAGAATAGCAACAATTGAAATTCTCTACAACATTCGCTGGCATTCAATTAAACTTTTTGACCTTATAGCTATTGGTCATCGCTCTTTACGAACTCATCAAGCTTTTATTAAAAAGTGAAAGCAATCAAATATCACCATAATGGTCAAACACTTCCAAAAAACAATGAATATATTGTCCATCAATGTTTTCAAGCCGACATTAAGCTGATAACTGAAACCCAAATTGCTAATAGGATTGGTTTGTATCTAAGTATAAAACTATTAACCGACAAACCAGAATTCTAATGAGTAAAACGATAGACAGGTTGGAACATTAATGCAAGTTCCAATAATAACCGTTCCAATTTTGAGTCAATACAGCGTCAATATGTAAAACAGTGGTGCAATTATTAGAGGTGTCACCGATCCGAATCTCGGGTCGAAGGGCTCGGGACGGATCACAAACAACTACTTACCGATCTCGAATCTGGTCAGAACACTCAGGAATATTCTAAATTAACGTAAAATGCTTTATATACCCGCTAAATGTTTCACAAAGGTCCATGTGCACTGTTGTGCAGTATGGCAAGATATTTTAGACAGTCATATATTTCACCGTGAGTACTTCCTGGGCATAAATACAGTGTTTTTTATTAAATCAATATGTTTCAAGTGAAGTCCCCATGATGATAAAAATATCAATCGAACAATTTGAAAAATTATAAATAGGGACCCCACGTCAACAATGTTTTTAAAATGTTGAACTTATTTGCTCAAAAGAGGATCTTCTTTTTTGATTTTTAATGCACGAAAACATTATTCAACAAGGGGTCTAAAACATCTTCAAAAGTAGAATGGTATTGAAAGTCTAGTTTTGAAGATATCAATTTTCGATGACCAAAATCATGCTGAAAACAATGGATAGCGTGAGTTTTCCCTATGGGAAAATAACATGGGAAATGTGCTTTTTAACTTTATCGCGTTTCCATGCCAATCCCCTTTTCAGAAGTTTTTAATATAGTGTAGAAGAAACTTTTAAAACATTTAAATTGAGAAAAGCGCGATTCTCTTTTTAGAAAATTAGCCTTACATTTTTTAAAAAGTTACAAGATTGGGTCCTTATCCGTAATTTTCAGAGAGTGGGATTGATATTTTACTATCACGGGGACTTCACTTTAAAGAAAAGATATTGTTTTAATAAAAACCACAGTATTTGTACCCAGAAAATACTCATGGTGAAAGATATGACTGTCTAAAATCACTTGCCATGCTACACACGTACCTTTCTAGCTGCTCTACTTATTTTATACGCATAAATTACGTACGGAATATAATTTACGGTTCTATCCGATAAACGGGTCTCGTGTCATCTAAGATCATGGGACAATCATCGAATTAGACAATCGCATTCGGACTTACTTTTGGAGGATTTGTACTTCAAAAGAAGGAAACGTTTGTATAATCTTACATTATTGTTATTTGTATCGATTGATCGAATAAAGCATCCAACTTGAAATATCAGAAATATCAAAACTTAAACATTTCCAAAGCGAGGGTGTTAATATGTAAATATACATCAAATAGCTTTATTGGTTTTTTAGGTTGTAAATATATTAAAAAATCGAAAGTCATGAAGTTCCTGCGTACAAACATTGAGTTGAAATTTGAAGGTTGAACATGTTGAAGCTTAAGTTGGTAACTAGGAAAACAAAATTCTCTGGTTCGCGAATTGCGGCCATGCTGAAACGAAAACAGTCTGTCCTCGTTTCCAGATGATCCCTAGTAAATCAATGATACTGTGTACGAACCCTCTTAGTACATAAGCAAGCACTAGGAAATCAAGAATGAAACATATTTATTATTTCTATCGTATAATTCATGCCCTGTATTCTTTTTGCATTAGTTTTATGTCAGTTGGATATAAATAAGCAATAACATTTCACTTAATATGCAGATTAAGCCTATCAATATTTGTTACAGCAATCTGCGTTCGTGAACTCCACAGATATTGTATATAGCCCTGGGGGTTTGGGGCTTTGATCCCATGTGTCCGGTTTAAACTTATAAATATTCAATTCCTAAGTGTTTTAATAACGTCAGCCTTTAAACTTTTGATACTTCATACACAGGGTTTAATTAACATCGATGCATTGACACTGACGGTTATAAAAAATAAATTTTCTTTAGCATATAAAAGGTTCAGCTTTTTGATAAGGTAAGGGGGTACAACATTTGGGACACCCGGATGATACTGGTTAAAGAAAAATGTAAAGGTTGCTCCTATGTTTTGATCAGGGTTTTTGAAAAAATAAATGCACATCGATCATGTCGATACATTGACTACACTGTTTAAAATCACACAAAGCTGTTTTTCAGGACTTGCTCAAACTAGGGAGAAAATATCATAAGCAGATTTAGTACCTTCATACTTCATTCAGTGATCGGTTTCTCAAAACATCTATGGGCAAAATATAGCAAGGGACCAAGAAAGGGTCATGTATGATTTAGAACGTAATCGATTTACAACCCTAAACGTATTATGATATAATTCCAGGTTTTAGGCGGACAAAAAATCACAGATCACATCAACAACAACGTGGTTCTGGACAAAGCCGACATCCAAACAGAAGGCTTAGTGGGCAACGCCGCAATTATTTCCACAAGCCATTAGAAACATATGACTGGCGAATAGATCCCAATTTTGATATTTATTTTGGTCTTCCATCCGCAAGGCCTGTACGTAGAGGAGATGGTTCACAGGGGAGGCCAAAATCCACATTTATTGAGCGGCCTATGCAAAATGGACCGACAAATGTCAATGTTCAACCACAACAGCCGGAAAAAGCAAAAATGCATGAATCATGGAGGAAATTAATCGAAACCAGTGAAAAAAGAAAAACTGATATGAAAACTCAAACATCATCAACATCAAGTATATTACCACCCAAAATAACCCAATATCGTTTGCAAACACCAACAACGACTAAAATGACGAAACGCACAGCAAAAATGCTAACCAAAATCACAGAACCAACGACTACAACAACTACCAATCCCCCTTCAACGACTACAATAGATATTACTGTCCCTGTGACTACAACAACATCTATTAAACCCAAAACGACTCAAGCATTTACTAATCCCCCCATTAAAATTCCAACTAAATCCCCCGAAACTATAACAACAGAAGATCCAACAGAGACTCCAATGGTCGAATTAAAAAGACAAACTACTTCTATAACTAAATACTCTTATACCAGGCATGACAATAATATGCTTAAAGTAGATCCAACGAACAATTATTTGAATGAGTTCAAACAAAACCCTTCTTTGTTCGTCACAAAGAAATCAATTATCGAACCCACTGCTCAAAAAACAACCTTAAAACAAATAACGACAACGACAACGCATGCTTCAAAACCGCCTGCTAAAAAGATTGAAAGTCCTGCCAACCCATATAAATCATATCTCGCTTATATTGCACAGGTGAATAAAGAGAATAAGATGAATGCAATTGGATCAGATAAACCAATTACAACAGTGCAGGTGATATTTCCGAGATTTGAACAACAAACTACAGCTGCCACAACATACCAGCCAAGACATGATCACACTAAGAACCACTCAAATAAATTCAATAAGGTAGACAATAGCAAAACACACAAACAACCTAATGCACGTCCATCAATACACCATCGTCACAATAGTCATGATACGGTTCACATAACGGCATCGATGCCAAAAGTAGAGCTGAGTCAAAAGCAACGCTTACAAACGAAATCTCCTTTAGCTGGACTTGTTTGGAAATTGATTGAAAGGAACGGTACCCCTGCGCCTAAGAGACTAACTACACCAACTACCACAAGAAAACAACCTACAACTGCTGCGACAACAATGATATCAACAATGCCGACAACAATTACAATACCAACAACCACTTATCCCAGCACTGATAAATTGATGATATCACTAGAAAAAACAACCGCTATTTATAATCCACCAGACACTGTTAATAAAAAGAAAGATCCATTCATGCCGTTTGATTATTTTAGATTAAGAGGTAAGACGACTCGGAGTAATAATGACTCTTTGAAAAGGAAAACTACAAAGATTCCGGGAGGAGTTGATCTGTTCTGGAAATGGATCAGACCTAACACAGAAAAACCAGAAACCAGAACCGCTGCTATCCTGTTTACTAAAGCATTTACACCTACTGTACTCACTTATTCGACACACACGTCAACAATCCCAACAAGTGGCGCACCACGTTTTAGAGGAGATACAATGGTAGCAACCGATTTAATGACCCAGTCAACAGGAAATACATACTCTGAAAGAAGACACCATACACCTTATAGAGTTTTGAATTCCAATATGTACGCCACTCGACCAACCATTGGCTCTCCTCCTAGACCAGGCCCAATGGGTGTACACAGCCATGCAACCCATAGAGCTGCTGTTTCCCTCCATGGGACGTTTCCAACGGCTGCATCACCCTATGTTACTCGCCCAACGTTCGAAGAGGTCAAAAGTAACCACATATCAACTATGGAAAAGTCAAATAGAAATCGTCAAAATCGAGAAAGGAATTTCATTGAAAGAAACACACCAGAACCAAATATGAACGACTTGGCAAGTGACATAGTTATCTCAAAGAAGGAGTTGAAGAGCACCACGTCCAAACAAATTAATAAGACAGATATGAACAAATACGAGGCAAGTACCAATCGACCACACGAGGAACAAGTTTATGACTCTATGTTTCACTCTGCGTTTGACAAAGTCTTGGGTAACTATGTCTCTGATGAGAAAATGGATGACATTATCAAAAAGCTTATTGAGGAGATGGATAGAAACATGAAAGCACAGTACGTTGATGAAGATATCAATTTTGAACAAAAAGACGGAACTTCGGAGATAGAAAGTTCAATTGAAGCCGACTACAATAAGGAAAGATCAATTAAAAGTGAAGACAATGAAGGAAGTTCAAATGGCAATGATGACGATGAAGAGAGATCGATAAACAATAAAAATGACAAAGAAGACTCAATTGACGGTCATGAAAATGATAAAATGACAATTGACGAAGAAGCAACAATCAAAGAAATAACCAAAAAAACAATTACAACTGAAAGAACACTGACAGAGACATACACAACAACACCAATAACAGAAACATTGACAGAAGCAATCACAAAAGTGGCGTCTGTGTCTGAAGTAGCGATAAAAGCATCAACAGATACAATGACGATAGAAACAGCCAAAGAAACAACGATGCAAACAACCACAGAAGCACCTTTGTTAGAAACAACCAAAGAAACAATGGTACAAACAACCAAAGAAGCACCTTTGTTAGAAACAACCAAAGAAACAACGGTACAAACAACAACAGAAGCACCTCTGACAGAAACAACAACAAAAACAACAATGGACACCACTACAAAAGCCCCTATGACAGAAACAACCAAAGAGGCAACCACTGAAAAACCTATGACAAAAACAACCAAAGAGACAACAATAGAAACAACCACGGAAGAACCTTTATTAGAAACATTAAAAGAGGCGACGATGATCGAAACTACCACACAAGAACCAACAATAGAAGCAAGTACAGCAAAATCAACCATGTTAAGAGAAAGCAAAGAAGAAATAACCGTGCAAAGAACAACCGTAAAAGTAGAACCAGCAACCGCTGAGTCAACTGCATACCCTGCAATCGAGAGAGATTTGGACAAAGAACAAGGAACCACGGAAAATACAGAAGACACAAGAAAACAGAACACAACTGTGCCTTCCAACGAACAAACAAGTTCAAATAAAACAGCGGACTATAGTCAGAATAACATCGAATTATCAGATGTTGCAACAGAAATTTATATTGAGGATTACGAAGATGTTTATGTTGCCCCAAATGAAGATTTCGGTATTGAAATTGATGTAGAACTCTTCCCTGGATTTGCAATGCCAAATGGTGTCTTTATCGAATCGGCGAAATCAGTTCAAGAATGCCTAGAAAAGTGTTACAAATCTACAACGTGTGAGTCGTTCGATTTTAGTATCCATAGTAATTTCTGTTGGTTTCATTTCGACTTTCTTAGTGATGGGACTTGTACTCCTTTGCCCAAGGATAGTTCCATTGTGCATTATAAACTGCTTCCTTGCGCCGAGCTTCCACTGGAGATTGGTAAGGTGTTTACGGTTATGCTAAATATTGATAAATGAATTGGAATTTAGGTTATGCTAAATATTGATAAATGAATTGGAATTCAGGTTATGCTAGATATTGATAAATGAATTGGAATTCAGGTTATGCTAGATATTGAAAAAAGAATAGGAATTCAGGTTATGCTAGATATTGAAAAATGAATTGGAATCCAGGTTATGCTAGATATTGAAAAATGAATTGGAATTCAGGTTATGCTAATTATTGATAAATGAATTGGAATTCAGGTTATGCTAAATATTGAAAAATGAATTGGGATTCAGGTTATGCTAGATATTGAAAAATGAATTGGAATTCAGGTTATGCTAGATATTGAAAAATGAATTGGAATCCAGGTTATGCTAGATATTGAAAAATGAATTGGAATTCAGGTAATGTTAGATATTGAAAAATGAATTGGAATTCAGGTTATGCTAAATATTGATAAATGAATTGGAATTCAGGTTATGCTAGATATTGAAAAATGAATTGAAATCCAGGTTATGCTAGATATTGAAAAATGAATTGGAATTCAGGTCATGCTAGATATTGAAAAATGAATTGGAATTCAGGTTATGCTAAATATTGATAAATGAATTGGAATTCAGGTTATGCTAGATATTGAAAAATGAATTGAAATCCAGGTTATGCTAGATATTGAAAAATGAATTGGAATTCAGGTTATGCTTGATATTGGAAAATGAATTGGAATCCAGGTCATGCTAGATATTGAAAAAAATGAATTGGGATTTAGGTTATGCTAAATATTGATAAATGAATTGGAATTCGTGTTATGCTAAATATTGATAATTGAATTGGAATCCAGGTTATGCTAGATATTGAAAAATGAATTTGAATTCAGGTTATGCTAGATATTGAAAAATGAATTGGGATTTAGGTTATGCTAAATATTGATAAATGAATTGGAATTTAGGTTATGCTAAATATTGATAAATGAATTGGAATTCAGGTTATGCTAGATATTGAAAAATGAATTGACGAATGGGCAGTACGATACAATATTTTAGATATTGATCAAATGATTTTGAATCGAGTCATTTTTTGATGTTTCAAATAGTCTGTTCGTTTTGAAAATATGATAACAAGGGGAGTTATTAGAGTGGAAATGAATAAAACTATTAGCTGTAAAATGCATGGGTGTGAACTTGAAACGGTTGCCGATTTCACTTGATATAGGCGAAGTGTATAATTTGTTTGTTATTTACTTAAGAAATACTGTATATTTCATTGTTTTATATATTATTGTATTATTTGTTTCATACTATTTCAAATAAAATTGAAATGTGATATTTCAGCAGAACACATCTTTACAACAATTAATAACAGGATTCTCAACTTTACCAACTTTATCACTGGACCTTTAAAGTCATATGTTTATAACTCCGCAAAAGGTTTGACAATCAGTCATGAAAACGTAACTTATGGCTGTATGCTTTAAAACAACCAAAGGGCTCATCTCAAAAAACAACTCCTGACTAGAGACGTCCATAATATCAATCCAGATAGTAAAAACTGAATGTTTGGAGCAACACTAAAAGTTCAAATATAGTTGTCAAATTTAAATGTCTCACGAGAGCCGTTTTAACTTGGCTTATTAATATAAACACCTCTCTTGAGATCAACTATTCGGGTTTCAGGTCAACAATACTTTTAAGCTGGGGTTTGCACTTAATATCTGACCGAAGATGGAGACCTTTATGATTATTCTATCAGTCCAAAGATTAGAATTGTGTTCTTAAAAATACACTGTTAGGACTTCCAAAAGAGCGCAATCACTGGATCTTTTCATTCTAAAATGATAAAAACAATGCTTGTTGACGTTTATGGAAACTCCGGGGTCCACCATTCCCTTGTATCTTAAATGATGTTGACCTTGCATAATTAGAGGTTAGGTGTATCTCAGAAGTGGGCAATGGTAAACAAGTATCAAGTGGGCAATAGTACCGCAAAAATAAATTGAATAAAAATCATTCATTTGGTACATGTAATGTGAAGAAAAATCCGACATCCTGTAAACATGCGAAGACGTAATACGTAATCGAAAGTCAATTCCCACTACTAGCAAATGTAGTCCAAAAGTAAACAGCAAATGAATAAGCAATAACAAAAGCAATACAGAGGTCAAACTGGTACTTCGATAGCATAGTACATGTATATGTAGGTTGTGCAGACATTTTACAGTGCCAGTCATCAAAAATATATATCCAGTCTGAGGCAGTGAGGATCAATCTTTCAAACCAAAAAATAAGCAATCAGAGGACCACAGTACAATATTATATTGAAAAAAGAACATAAATATTTTTGATACAAACATTTTTACATTTTGGATTATTTGTTATTGACAAAATGATTTACATGGCGGAGATTCCATAAATTACAATAGTCCGCAAGTTTCTTTCACAATAATAAGAAAAAATTAGTGTACTAATATTTATATTCAAAACGTGAATGTACGTTTCCATTTAACATTCCATCGTGGTCTTTTGATTTCTTTTGGCTTGTACGTACTACTATTCAACTTTTTCAACAGTCCAGTTGCAAGATTAGCTGTTTGAACAGTTCCCTGTTTGGTAATCGAGTAATCGAATATTTTGCATTGCCTCTGAAATGTCCGACATATATTATCGTATATATTCGAACAAATATATATTATATAATCTGAGTTATTTTAACAACAAATAACAAGGCGGAAAGTTATTCGATCACATAGTTTAATCGACCAAATAGCCGAATACCACCGATAAGAACTTAAACCAACCTTTCACCGATATGAGGTAATCCAATTGTGTATGTTTACAATCAGCCTAGCGACAAGAAAGATTAGTGAAATTTGTAAATTCATACTGAAATAAACTATTGTAAATAAAAGCTATAAATTTACGTTCAGTTGTTCCTTTGAAGAAAAAGAAGATATATGGATATATATTAGGAACAGGGATATTGGAGAGTTCTACAAAACACGTAAGTAAAGCGTTTTGCTTGATTAGAGAAGTATAAATGAAAAGAGGAGAAAGGAGAATTGACGATGGAAACGTCGAGTTAATATTCAATACGGAAATGCTGTAAATCAAGAATTATTCAATTGCCAAGAAAAAGGCCTGGAATACAATGTGATGACTCTATATCATAACTAATTATCCCCTGATAAAGTTGTGTCAATTATTTCGAATTTAATATAACAATTTACAATAATCAAATAGAATGAATGCCTGGGAGTTGGACATTTTTCATAATAGTGATAATGAAGTTGATTAGAACATAGATTGAGCTGAAATAAAATACCTAGTCATTAAACGGCTCTTCTTTTCCCTTGCTGTCCTCAATTAATCGTTTCCTATCACCTTCGCATGGTGATGATGTTTATGAAATCTTCACGAGAAACTTTTTTCATATGGATATTAACACTTTATGCTATAGAATATATCGTTCAATATCCAGGTTAAATTTGTTAAAGATTTCAGTTTTATCTGAAATAACCTGGTCATTAACTATAAATTCATTTTTAGATTTGGGGAAAGACATATTTTGCAGAATAAAAAGATTAGCATCCAAAAAACGGCTTATATTTTTCTGCACTAGCCATCATTAATTTTGATAAGGTCGTATCTTTTTACCCTCATAAATCCTGCATCGGGAATGAGTGGCTTGCGCAGAATAAATTAAACTTTTTTCAGATAATCTTAGAAGGAATCAATACGTAAAGATAGTATCAGATCTAGTGAACAACTTTAACAAAAAATTTTTAATATTTTTTGGTCCAATATTCTGTATAATATGTGTCTAGCACATTCATCATTTGGAAGAATTCAAACATTCTCCCCTTTTTGCACTTTAAAGCTTAACAAAGTAATCTCTTATCAAGGCTCTTTTGAAATATTACATGTAATTAGGAATGTACTGGTAGGTCAATTGCACAATATTTAATTGCCCCTCCCCCCTAAAGAAGGATTAAGAAAAGTTCTACATTCTTCATCCTAGATCAAACAAACCAAAACCAGGGACGGTTTGCTTAATTCACTCTCCTCCTAAATGTCTCCGTGTCAGATTCGCTAGATACACTTCCAACGATAATCTAACAAAACGAGTCGAAAGTCCCTTATACCTAAATAAAGAGCACGTTAATTAAATCGTATGAGGTTCGAACTAGTAATTATATTATACTTAAGATTCACACCTAATCATTTTCAAACTTTCACTTCATGATTTTACGTATCAAAAACCAGCCATAGAATAGTGCCATAAGATACAACAAGGGGCAAGTAGGAGGAAGCAGTGCTCTGGCTTGAACTCTCTGCGGTCTTAATCCCATGTAATATTGTCATATAAGTGTCTTGTTTCTGTGTAATAAAGTTTGACAGAGCTTATACAAGGATAGCGATTAATGTATGTTCTGTAATGTTAATATTTGAGCTCCTTAAGTTATTGACTCGTAAGACAAGTCGTTAAGAAAATATTATATTTTTGCAGGACAGTGTCAATTCATAAGTCGAATCAAGTTGGCCCTACATATTACAGACAGCACTACATACCAGTTGCCACTACAAAGAAGTCGCCACTACACATAAGTTTCCACTACATTCAAGTTACCACTTCACTCTACATCTCAGGGTAATGCCAGCCCCGAAAGAATATACTCCACCTTGGAAGTTTCCGAAATCTGAATACCAAAAGAAATTTGAAAAACGCAGCTGCCTGCAGAGTGAAATAGCCTTTCCACAGAAACCGTGCGAGGCAGACAGATACAATAACCCACACCCACACACGGTTGGTGATTTGTATCATATTTCTATACCCCTTAAAATAATCTAGTCAATTTAAATTGTTAGTACCTCAGTTGAAATACTCGTATCTGATTGGTTGATGAGCGGTCAACATTTTTGCCTGTGCCCCACCTGTGCATCATGGGATATCATATTATTGACCGCGTATTTATAGGATATCCTATGATTTTGAGGAATATCATTTTTATCTACGAGGTGATATTGATATTTGCACGAGAGAGCGAAGCGAACGAGTGCATATATCAATATCACCGAGGAGGGTTCGGGGCAAATCAGAAATCAGGATATCTTTTCAGTAAAATATTCAGCAAAAAATATTTTTATATAGAAAATTGAATTGTCTAACTTTTTAAAACACTAAGTGTTTAGTTTATTTGATGAATATAAAAGTTACAGCGCTTCAAAGTCATTTTTGAAAATAATTGTTCGCCTCCTGTGTTATTTCAATGGGAGAGTTTTTTTGAAAAACAACTTTGACTTTAAAGCCCTATAACTTTGTTGAACCTGAAGAAACATATCAATCTTTTGTTAAATAAAGTTAGCAAATTCAATTGCCTGCCTAACTCGTATTTTTGCAAGGACTCGGATGGATGGATATTCTGTCACATGACTTGCGGAAAACCTATCATTTCCCATTGGTTAACATGGGAATGTCGTTTTTCAAAAATTCATCAAATTTATCATCAATTTTCGACCTATTGTAATTGAGATAAAAAATTGAAAAACTTTGAAGGTATTGGAATTAAAGTCAAATTACGTTTCCATCAATAGTATAAGTATTTTCATCGCAGGTTAAGTAAATAAAAATTCAAAGGTGAAGAGGCTTTAACACGTAGTTCAATGAGGAAAAAAGGTTGCCAAACTTATGGAGCGGAGTGTAGACGGACATTTTGTAAACGTTGATGAAAGTGATATTTGACTTTGCTAGACGACATGTATAGCAAAAATACAAATAGAAACGTAAAGTTAACATTAATTTACCAGTGAGTACGAAGTGATGTGCCGAAAACAGAGATTTAGCTACCACTGTCTTTAGATTTTCTGAATTATTTTGCTGGCGTGGTTCGGAGAAAAGATTGAGAAATGAAGCCATGATTGATGACTGTCGTCTATATGTGTATTATTAGTTTCTTCTGACTAACAAAACAATTGTAGACCTCTCTATTCGGTCAACCGTCAAAATCATATACCTCGATTGTAAACCTTGAAACTACTGTTGACCTCGACCTTCGGTCTCTGTCTACAGTAGTTTCTCGGTTTACAGTCTCGGTATACAATTTTGCCGATTGACCTCTGGAGAGGTCAACAATTGTATACTGTCATATCATAATTATATAAGAATACTGAAAATATTTTATAAGAAATTAATACTGTGCTGTCGATTAGGGCTATATGTGTATTGTCATTATTAAGCCATGTGATATAGCCTATAAACTAAATAGTCTCAAAGGAGGTTCTCCATTTCCGATTAGTTTCTTAATATTTATAGGTAGTATAGGACAAACAAACCCATTTAGGTATTGTTTACTATTTATGATGATTAAAACTGAAAGTAAAGTTACACATTTATATTTCCTAATTCTAAAGTTTATTATCGCGTGCTACAATCCTTTGTTTTTCATTTATATCAAAACTCATACTATTTCGTTATTAAAATCGCAAACGAGCCTTTGCTCATGGGGATTACTATATTAGTTAATCTACGATATGGTATGATAAACCTCAAGGTGAAACATTACAAGGGGTGAATCGTATCATTCTCCTCTCTAAAATGAAACAATGAGGTGAATAACAGAAAATGAGGTGAATAACAGAAAAATGTCCAAATTGGCCCATCACTTACAATAGATCGACCCAGCAGATGGCGCCTACATGATAACTATTAAAGGGTCGTTGAAATAAACGCAACCTACCTTGCTTAGGAGTATCCTTCTTTTATTAAAATCGTGTCTCGATATGAGTACAGAGCCGTATGTATAGAATCGTGATAATCATACATTTTATAAAAGGGGTACAAAAATAGTACATACAATTTGGAAATAAAGAAAACGAATAGTAAAAATATAGTATGTAAAAATAAAAATAGGCTTCAAGAAAATTAAATGTTAATTTGAGTATAATGTTATGATAATACTCTACGATTCGTAAAATGTGCGATAAGCAAGATGAAATGATCTGGAACTTTGTAAAGGGCAATTAAGAGTACACTTTTACTTGTGAAATGTGCTCAGCAGATCCTCCAATTACCATGAAGACAATTGTCACGAAAATGTAGGCAAGAAAAAAAGTTCAAGAGCAAATTAAGCTTTATTTATTGAACGACTGCTATAAGATAGATATACATGGTGTCCATAAAGTATATTTACAATTTCAATACAAAGGCTGTGTAAAGTGTTAAGAGACTCTATGGATACCTTGCATGTTAATACTAAGAAACACATGATCGCTTCAAGGAAGAAACTACAAACATTCTAAAAACGTGCCCACTTGGGTAGCATCTGTTTGAAACTAATTATTTCTAGTGGTTTCTCCAATTGGATTCCAACTTTATGCGGTCGAATATGATCATTCCAAAAATTCACTATTAAACGTAGACGACCAATAAAACCTGAAAAACACAAGTATTTGATCGCGGCTAACCCCCCTATCACACCAAACTAGTTCTTACCCGTTCTTGCCAGTCCTACGAAAATGTCGTAAAACGGGCTCAATCTGGCTGCGGTCGGGATATATGTCTAAAATAATTAGCTACTTCGTTCATAAACAGTCGTCAATACGTCCATCTCATTCGCAGTTCGTTCAGGTCGCACTACATCATCATGATCTGATTACAGAACGGTATGGTCGCCATCGAATTTTTAATCGATTCAAAATTCTAAATCACATACCCCGTCCGGGAAAGTCCATGAAGTTCGTAAACAGACCGTAGAACGTTGTATCTACGTTCATTCAGTTCGCACACAGTTTAAAACCGATTCGGCAACGTTTTGACGATCACCAGAAAATTTTGAGCATGCTCTAATTGCTGGAGAACCTACTCGTTCTAGTAGTTTCATGAAGTTTGTAAACAGATCCCAAACGGTTCTTGATGGGTTCTTAGCACGTCAAATCCGTTCGTGCACAGTTTAAGCCCGTTTTCGAGAACGTAGTGAGAACTAGTTTGGTGTGATAGTAGGGTCATACGTTACTGATACTTTCAGCAGTATCATTTACCGATCACACCTAATAAACTTACTCAATCACTCCAGTAGTTTAGTGCTCGAAGCGATAAAAAAAATGGTAATCCATTATAGTTTTACATTTAGTGATGATTCTCTAAACTAATCAAATCAAGGGAATTTTGTATAATGACGTTCACTGAGCGGTAAATGCCATATTCCGCAACGTGTGTCTGATATTCTCCGAGTGAATATGTCACATTACGCAGGTGAATATAAGGTATTCACTATATCATAGTTCAATGCGGAATATGTCAGATACCGCAGGTGAGTATGTCATATTCACTTGTATCACAAGTACCGCGCAACCATAAATGTATGCCATACCGCGTAACACCCTGTAGCTTTATTTTGTATGCATTATCAATTACAATGTAATGGAAAGTGTATTCATTGAGAGAGCTGAGTAAATAGAAACCAACAATAACACATCAGATCCGTACACCTTATAAACTTTAATCGATAAAACTTTTATGAGAATTCTTTGAGAAGATACCCGTACAAAAAAAATAATTTTATATTTTCAATGTTCCCTCGTTCTCAGGTAAAACAAACAGTAGACAAGATTACAGGAATATGACGTCTTTAAAAGTGGTGTGAAAACATCAAAATAAAAAATAAAATACATTCAAGTTGTCTTAATAAGTTGCAATTTGTACAAGGAAACTTACCTTATTTTGATTGGTTTCCTTTTCTCTTATTGTATGATCTGTGTCCCGAGTAGAGGTATATCCTGCCCAAATAATGTCATTCGTATAACATTTTCCGATCTTAAATAAAGTAAAAACTATAATTAGACAAAAAACGAAGTAAACGGACATCTAGTCAATTCTGCCTGTGATAAAAATACCGGAGAATTATAGTGATCTAACAGGTTTTTTAAGAGGAATCAATACCTCAAAGAGAAATTTTCCGCTTGGGTACTTCAGCTCTGGTAGTTAAGGAAAATATTTAGATATGTACTTTTCTTTATTACACTTGACAGACAAAACCAGACTATTAGGACATTGGATTTAAGTACTTCGATGAAACAATTATCTACAGGTAAAATTTTTAATGTCTACGATCATTGATATATTCGAATTATCTGTCTGGTGACATTTTCTTTCATTAATTTGACGAAGTGCTGATTCTAGGATGGTTTTACTTTGATCATCGGAGGCATGCTCTCTTCTCTATGGTCTTCATCTGGTATATTTTTATGGATATTGGGAAATTAAAAATGTTCGTATAGTTGTCATGGTTTTCTCTCTGTCATTGGCTATATCAGAAATTGTTGTTCAATTTGTATGAAATGACCTGTATGTAATAACTGGAATTTTTTTAGGTCGATTACGTGTCTGTTTATTTTGCATTTTCATTTCAAACTTTGTCAGAAAATGTCAGATTTTCTTGTCTCATTTTCCAAGGGCTGTTAATTAGGTTTCTAAAAACTTAAACAAAGTTGATATAAAACTGCAAAAGTTTGCACAACACAAGTCAATTTATGCCAAGACAATTAGGGCGACTAATCAGTGTGTAGATATAAAAATAAGTGTAACGTAAAACCTAAACAAAGTTGATATGAAAACAATAAGGTTGACAAAAAAACAAGTCAGTTGGTGTCAAGACTTCAACGATAATCAATGTAGGTGGAATAAAAAGGATTAATATTAAAATCTTTTAATATGATTTTATGAGGCCATATAACAAATGACGGCATCACCTTTGTGTACCACTCAACAATATTCGTGTCTTTGTTACGATAATTAAGAGAAATCTTGTTTGAAACAATTTACTAAGCGTCATCACAACATGGACAATTCCATGTCCTTAATAATAGTTTATTGTTTAGACATTTGTTTTATTTGCACGACATAGGGTTATGTCATAACAAATAAGATTAATGTGACATTTCTATTTAATCCTATTAAGTTGATATAATTGTTGTGACATAATATGTTTATTAGGCTGTCTGCTCTAAAAGCAATTTATTACTTTTTAGAACAGCATCTGTTATTTTAGAGAATTAATCTCCAAGTAACAATAACACTTTTAATGTAAGTTGATAGTTGAGTTCACTTAAGTTTTCGTTGAACAGTTCTATTTACAAGTGGGCGAGATAGTGTAGTTGATTAGAAGCTAGCTCAAAAAGAGGTTAATATAACTAACTAGTTAATACTCGATTGGAGGGGAGGGGGATGTTAGACATTGTTTCTTTTCACTTTAGATCATGGTTTTGGGGTGTATAAATAGGGTTTACTTTTCTTATGACAGATTTACACTTACAGTTTGCTTTTCTTGTTGGGTTTCTTTAAAGTTTTAAGTCACCCTTCCCTTTGGCATTTGCGCTTATATATACATGTATATAGATACCTTGAACTGTTTGAGGCTGATGGTCCATTGTCTTAGGCCCATCGTTTGTATGGCATGTGACATAGTGCAGGGACGTCCCCAGAATTTTTCCAAGAAGAGTGTGTCTCCACCTAAAAAACAGTCTTCATCAGCAGAGAGTTGACACCTTCTCATTCTCTTTCGCCAGAGCACAAGTATCATATTTTCTCCGAGCAAGTCTCTTTCTCATAAGCTCCATGAACGAAATTCCTGGAGATTGGCTCAAATTTGGGGTTGGTCACCCCCCCCCCCCCCCATTTAGACACTCATTTAGTGACAAATCTGCTAGAAGCATAGATTCAGTGAGCAACAAGGAATAACCATCCCAATACAAATGGAATTATTGAGAGAAAAAACAAATCTGGCGATAATCATCTGATATACACTCTCGTGTTTGAAATACATGTAGACTTGGAGTCGAAACATACTACATGTAGCCCTCATTCCTTTCATATAATTATGAAATATATATATATAGTTGATCAATTACCTTAAAGCCTATGAAATTAAACAATAATGATTAGTTATGCCTGGTATGTTGCTCGATAAAATTTTTTTTATCTATCTATTATTATATTTTTAACTACAGACCAAAGAATTCAGTGACGGTGTCACCATGAGAAGTTACATGGACCCAGAAAATATGCGTGCTGACGTCGAGAGCTATGTTCAGAAAATGTCATCGGAGTATGGCTTCCAGCCCTCAGTTGAGTCACATGTTCAAGGTTACGGCACAAAGACCTACAAACGTAAGTGGATGTACACCACCCTCCATAAGTTTGACAACAGAAAGTTCATTTGGAATGATTCATTAAAGTCATCTATCATCGGGCGATGTAAAGAAATCATAAAATTCAGATGTGTAATTTAGGTACAAAATTAAGATTTAGACATTGAAAGAATTTTATATCCTACCGAATGAACAAGTTCCGGTTTCTAAACGTATGTAGGGGAGTGTACATAGATGTAAATAATAACAGTATTAAGATGTATGACATAAACTATCAAGAAATAACTGAAGAGAATGACCATAATATGGCTTCTGTATATTCACTTAAGGATGCCGTTTCCATTTTGTATATTTTAGCGAAAAAGCAATGTATAACCCCTCCCCCCCAAAAAACAACAACTTTCTTTTGTATTTCAGCTCAGAAAACCCACGTATACATATTGTATTATTTTAGCACAAAAACTTATGCTGGAATCGTATGTCGAACTTTATTAATTACTTTGTATAAACATTTCAGCTCAAAACGAAATGCTGGAATCGTATGTCAAACCTGCTATGAGACTGATTAAACAAAATAGATCAGGAAGAACGCAAAATGGTAAGTTGCTTTAAATTAAACTAATTTTGTGTATAATATACCAAAAGTCCCTCAAGGTCGAGCTCATGGAATGAATTGAAAAAAAAATTGGACCAAGGATGAATATACCAAGATTTGTGGCAGATGATTTGCATTTATGAAGAAAATATGATTAAATATGGATTGATTTGTACTATTTCCCAATTTGTTCATTATTTTCCCGTTTTAGTTTAGACAATGATTCAAGAGTTTTTCATCAAAACTTGAGCAACTTGGTTCAATTAAATGCGGTTTAAGTTGTAATTAATCTTTTTATTTCACTTCTGATCATTGATGATGGATTGTTTATAAGAGAATATGTCACTATGCCATACGAAATACGATTTTTCTTATTTCCTTTAATTGATCCATTACGTAATAAAGATCCCATCGTTTCTTGATTCAGCGTAAAATGCCTGTAGGCTGACAGAGATAAATGACGTATACTAATCAAACTAGAAATATAAGCTTTAAAATCTACTCTGATCTAGTAAAGTTTAACATAAAGTCAGAGAAACGTCAAGATGCTAAATTGCTTGCAAATATAGAATCCGATTTAGCATATAGAAATTTGTGAATGTAAACAATTTATAAACCCATTTGAATAAGATCAATAAAACCCGAGATGCCATTGTAGTAGATTTGCCTAACTTAAGACTATAATAGAACCCTTTTGACAATGCCAACAAATAGTACACTATGACATACGATCTAGAACATATGAATAAGTTTGTACCGTTGTCAAGTGAGAACAATCAGACAACATAGGGGCTAAGATAGTCAATTAAGGACAGATAAGTAATGATAAGTAATGATAGGCGATTCAAAACCAAACAAATAAGATAGATCCAGAAACACGTGGTTGTTAAGCTAAACAGTGGAGTAAAATGGGTCTAAGTAAGGTCGTAATTAGGGATAAACCAATTAACAAGGCTATACTAAAACATGAAGAAGCAACTGAGTTCTTCCCGAACACTGATAATGTGAGACTACATAAAGATCTAGACCCACGAGCTCATGTGGTTGAATACACCGCAAGGAGTTATTGGCCATACTGTCTTGAGACGAACCTTGGTAAGTTTTAAGAAAATTGGTCTCGGGATTTGGAAAGATCATGAATGTTCACTGCAACAAATCAACAAGTAACAAATCAAACAAATAACCAGATAAACAAGAAAACAAACAAATATTGTTTGTTTTCAGAAAATGAATATGATCAATAAAACAAAAACCTGTTGAAACTGTCAAAAACAAACAAAACAGAAACACACAACAATGAACTAGTATAAAAAGCAGTTTTAGTACCTCTTATTAAATGCGATAACTAGAAAAACGGGAAAGAAATTACTGAGTGTTAATGATGGTACGCGACTGTTTAAGTTAAGCTCAAAGGTAGTATGTAGTAAATGTTGAAGTTTGTAGATCAGTTCATCGATTAATTAAATCGAACGAAGATCAGATCTGTGGAAAAGATAGGGATATTATAGTATTTGTACTATTAACACTGAATAGTGTTTACATGATTGTTATTGTATTTCATCCTTTTTTGTTTAACTACTTACAAATAAGAAACAGATTCGACATGCGAAGAGAAATTGGTAATTGGTAATCAAGGTTTTGTGCAACTTAGAATATATGAAACGAGCTCATTGAAACAATGATCGAAATGAAAGTGTTAATGGGTAAAATCATGTTTTCAGATACATATCAATATGATCGTCCAAAGACTGCCGGGGCGAGAACGAGGCCAATTACCAGGGACCAACCTACACTCCCTAAAGAAACAGCATGGGGTTACGACACGAGTCCTGACGAAGATCAAGATCATTGGATTAGTTGGAAAACCGGCACACCGAATCGAGACCTAGGTAAATCGGTCCCCGTCATACGACCACCTACACCACAAGGAAGTGGATACCCAAGTTACAACCCTGGTTACAACACACACAAGTCCAATACCGCATATACAAGCAGTTACCATAAACCTCCAAGTCCGACGTACGGGACATCCGCGGTTGACATCAGCGCCAAAAGATGGCCGCAGGATTATGCAGACGATGTAGCCAATGAACCAATTAGAACGGGGTATACACCGGAACCAACCTCTCCAATTCCTCACGCTGATGTGTCGTCATATGACACTTGTCACCATGCTCCAATTATTGATACAACAACAAATGTAAGTATTATTACTCCCATGCTGATGGATTGGTGAAAGTCCTTGGCAATCTTACGAAAAGATTTCAGGAGAAAAGAGAGCACTCTGCTGGTTATCTACAGTTATCAATCACACGCGTTCCACGTGCATTTAGTTTTAAACTACACCCCCTCTCTCTATCTCTCTCTCTCTCTTTTACTTGGGGTACTGTTAAAACTGGTACACGAAAAGTCATCTCTGCTCTTAAAAGTATAACTTATTGCAAATTATTCTATTTTGTGTAAATAGAGCAAGAAAATGTCTTTGTCTGATGATACTACGCACTGAATGAGATTGTTTCCGATGAGCCAATTTCTTGTGAAGCCTAGCTGACCTTTGTATAATCCGTATTTTAGTGAGTGAAAGAAGAAAGGGGTATTTTTTCTTGATGAAGTTGAGGTACATACACAAACAATATACTGACCCAATGTCCATTCTATTTTTAGCCGGCGACAAAAGATTTTAACGTAACATATGAGCCAAATCTACGAGCGTGGCTTAACAACGTCCAAGACACAGACAAAGAAATCGTTTATAGCTATCTAAAAACCTTAAACAATGGCAAGTCTGTGTCTCCGATCAAATCAACCACCCCTGCACGTCCGTACTCGGCGTCGCCAACGCGCGATGTAAGTGTGACGCCGATCAGGAGACGCCAAGTGCAATCCGCAAGAATGATACGACCAAGACCCCCTGTTCAAGTTTACACAGAACACGATGATAGATGTAACCCTTGTGAGGATCATATTGTGAAAACCTGGGCAAAACAAATGGCAAAGTAAGTAGCATTTGCTGAGGAAAGTTCCGTAGAAAAAAAATCCAAACCAATGCCAAAATGCATGCATACAAATACGTAATCGCCATGGCAACTTGGGCAAACTTCAAATATATTGAAAAAATAGAAACACAGAGTTAACTCAAGAACCATTTTAACTTCTCAAACCTCTTAAGCTTATGGGTAGTTTCTGATATACCAAGTCCTTGCTTTGTCCTACGCAATCAATTGATGGCAATATACAATAAACTCGAACGTCAACATAGATTTCATGATCGAAAACATGTACTTAATTACAAAATTAGTTGAGATGTTACAAATCTCGAGCTACAAAGATATTCTGACATCTTAATCAGTAAGGGTTAATGGCAAAGGCTGGATAACAATGAAAGACGGCATCCAATTCAACAAACATCTCGAACAATGACTAATTTCTCTGTGTCACTGAAAAAAATATTTTTAGACTGATGAAGTTAATTCTAATTCAGGGCAGTGAGTACACTCCTTTGGGCTTTTTTGTATAATTTATGTCAGTCATTGAATTATCTTTGAGGTAATTGTTAAGTGCCTGGCCCTTGACCCAGAAAGCTTGAATGATATCAAGCATGAAAAAATTGAATATGACATATATCTTTTATAAATTACAATACATTGACATCTTAGCCTTTAGGCCATTTTCTTTGTTCATTGTCGGAAACGAATTAAATCAGTTTGATAGCTCTTCGATGAAGACAGAATGAGTTCATTGTGCTTTCTTCCTTCGCGTTTTTTATTTCTGCGCGAGGTGGAATACCCTTAGAACATTTGAAGGCTCTAATTAAGTCATTTTTCATTTCTTTTATGTTTTAAACTTAATATAAAAGATGCGTTTAAGCTGAGATCAATGGGGAAAAGTGCTTCTGACACTACGAACAAAGATAAAATATATCACAATTGAAAAACTTCAAACGCGTAATTTTTCTTCAAATCTCATTGCACTCGTATTTCCTATTTTTCATCAAAAGATGATAAATTGTAATTTCTATATGAAGTATAGCCATAAAAGAGACATTCCCCTTCCTGCTGTCCTAATTATAATTTTATATTAACCATAACTTGCACGATATAAATCAAACTGACAATGGCGTTAATAGACAAAAAACATCCCGTCCAAAGGATTTGGCGATTAGTTCAATGTAGGCCATATACTTGATATCAGGATACATGACAGAAGTCAATGATGATACTACAAAGTGTGTTTTATACTCAGAATTCATTTTTTGTTCTACTCCATGGTTATTCATGTTAGGCTAACAAATCTTGAGTGTTACATGGGTTTTGACAATAAATGACCCATTGCCCTTCAGGTGATTGCATATGATCGTGGACAAACTTCGTGCAATCGACAATGAGCTCATTAATAGGCTTGAATATGCTTTCCTGTTCACTTTAATCAGGGGCATTGACATAGAGAGGAGCCTGGTAATGGATCGTGAACAATGATGTGAGCGGAATGGTCAATTGAGTATAAAAGGCCAGCACTTAAAAATCTCTCCACTAAGGAAATCCTTTGAACATATGTACGATGGCCATCCCCGTCTCAAGACTTCAAAGAAGACTTTGATCATCACATCATTCTCGTAATGGTATGAATTCCTACTGTAGACAGAAAATTGCAGAAATATATGACAACCCACGTTGAAAGTTAGATATAGTTCCCCTGATTCTCCAGAACTAGTCAATCATACACCCATGTATATTGGGATCTTCTCTTTTGTTACTCCATAAACAGGAAACCAGAATCACAGTTACCCCAAAAGCCACTGGGATTCGAACTCAGATCTTTGGGTCAACGCTCTCTCACTCGAAGTAAAGTTTATTTCTAAAAGTTAACCCAATGAACTTATGCGGAGGTTGAAACACTAAATCCATATGCAAAGGATGAGACCAAACAAAAGATGAGAACTGGTCATTACTTTGAGGATAAAGCTTGAGGGATGAGTCTAATAAAATGTTAAACGAGCAATTGTCCGTCATCTTGTTATTGTTACGAATATGATATAAACCTGGACACGCAATTTATTAATTAAACAGGCAATTAATTCTTTGAATTTGAGTGAAAAATGTTCTTGTAAACACCAATAGGAAATCATTAACTGAAATAGAAGTCGGACGCGGACAATGGGATGTCTAGGTGGAATGGATAAATAAGTAGTAATACTTGGTCGAACACTTGAAAGCAATTGATATCTCTAGCTCTAAGGGCAATAAAAATATCAGAAACTCATCGCAAAGGCAATCATTTTCATGTCACTACGGAAGACTATAACATGCAGTGTCACTACCGAAGACTATAACATCTAACTTTTTTGTGGACAGTGTCTGGCGTTCGACGTTTGACGTCTAACAACTGACAGGTGGTGATATTTTGCATATCGATGGCTTGTTTATGTCTATACTCTCTGGACATCCAGACAGTCAATAAGAACGTACCTACTGCTATTTGTCCTTAACATTTACTTCCGTAACCATACGTCAGCCATTCTTTAGGGTACAAATGACACTGGCCTCGATCGAATGCCACCTATACACTCGCTTCAAAAATGGCAACCTCACCTCCCTATTGACAATATACTAAGGCATGTTGATATGGGGCCGGGTTTGAAAGCCTTCATTTGATGAAATTTACAAAACTCTTGTCATTGAAGAAACACCCCAATTAAGACAAAAGGGTTAAAGACGCTATCCAAAAGGGAAAGGTAATTGTCAAACACCCCAATTTAGATAAAAAGGGTTAAAAACGCTATCCAAAAGGGAAACGTAATTGTCAAACATTTGGACGGTTTGTATCTGAACTCCTTGATTAACTAGGTCTGCCATACATTCAGGTAGCATTAATAATTAGCTTATCATAATTTTTCAGTAGTCAGCCAGCCATCAACATCCCAGCAGCTGGGTACACCAACTACCAGACTAGACCTACTGCCAGACACCAGCCGAGGAAGAAACAGCCAAAAGCATACGCACACGAAAACAGTTTCTTTACTGTAAGTTGTAAATCAGAACTGACGCCAAGAGTTAAGTTTTCAGATGTATAAAAGTATCCTTAGTACTAGCCAAAATTTTCAAAAAGGCGTTATAGTTCAGCTTTAATGCCCTGTTTAAGAAACCCTATTCTTACTATTGAAAATGGATTCTAGTACTCCCCGACAAGGGGAAATATTAAAATATTATAGCTATATCTTAAAATAATTTCGAGATAAGGTTGCCATGGTAACCTGTAATAAGGGTAGGCAGGTCAATTAAATTATGACCTTTAAAATATCATAATTACTTGTTATTTTGATTATTTTAAAGCATGCCGAAATCAATTTTTTTTCGAAAAAGGTTGGTATTGTTGCTCAATTGTTTGTTGCTGATCAAATGTTTATTTGTGCTCATTAATAACATCACAACAGCTCACAATAGCACTGTATGACAAAATGGGCCAATTGGCATCACGTGTCATGAGACACACAAAAAGTCAAAATATCAGATGAGGCTAGTGTGGCTGATGCAGAGTGTGACATTAACAGATACATTAGGAAAATATAAGAGGGATATGAGAGAAGATCACAAAATGAGAGCATTTTTATCAGAATATATGGAACGCCCCTTGTATATCTACTTGTGAATACTCGATCAACTTGAGTTCTTCTCAGAAATTGAGGACTTCAGCAAGGGTGCATATTGACGTACCGTATTGTGATAAGACATTGATTGGTTTTGTCAATCACTCAAGCTGAATACATTTGGGAAATTACCGACCATATTAAAAGTGGAAATGGTATGGGAAATCAACTGACAGACAGATCCCCCAGGATTTTAAAGTGACTGTTCGTAATTCTAAAATCACTAAAATCGACGACCCTTCAAGTTAAGACTATACATCCTTGGGATAAAATGTTGTATCCTCAGGTGGACTACCTCCTTAATTAAGTGGAACACTTCAAAGTCCCATTTCCATTTGTGAAAGTAAAGAACACCTCCCATGTGGGAAACTTTTCAAAGTCCAGTTATATTAGCCTAGCGTACAATGTACCTCCGTTAGTCAAATGCAGCCCAAGCGAGACATTATTATGATACGACAAGTGTTCCGTCACTTGTTTTGCTGTATGCTCTTAAGCAAACCCAGAAGACAAAAAACTCTTTGAAGTAAATATATTGATATTGCCACTTTAATGAGCCAATCTGTAATCATATTAATCATTACTCAGTTGCATTGGGCATTACAAGTTTAAAGTAAATTATATTTTGAATCCTTTGGGGAATTTTAACGATAATAGGCTTCACGCCTTATTATTTCAAAATAAGTGAATATTTGAAATCGATATGCAGCAAGTTGTACATCTTGGATACTGAAAATAATACTGGTGAAAAATTGACGTAGATTTTCAGGAAATATTAACATAGACGCTATATTTAATTGAAACGGAATTCTCATTATTCTATTTTCCTGTGTATCTCAAACATGTCTCGCCAATTTTAATGCCCTCCCCTAAGTTTAAGGGAGGACATTTTGAGCTCCTTTAAACATAAATAAACCCTGGTATTAACTTCTCACGTAATTGAATCTCGAACTTATTTATTATCATTAATTACTGACCAATAAGGTGTTTGCAGTTATATTTTGGTACTGAAGGAGAAAAATATATTGTTTTGATTATTATTGTCTCCCTAAAAGTGATTTTCGATTATTTCAGAATGCACAAGCTCCACCTAAAGGCCACTTTACCATAGCACCGGATTGGGTCTCAGAAAGCGTAGGGACACAGAAAAACTTAAAGATGATGCGGGTCAGCAAAAACGGTTTAAAATATGGAGTGAAATACCACTGAGGACATTTACTTTAAAAACTATGTACAAGGTGGCTCAATAAAAGCGTTTTGTAGAATGAAAATTCTTTAAACGTTTTATGGCCCATCCATCTGCTTTGTAGACGCCTTATTGGAGATTTATAGAAAATATATGCTTTGAAAGATAAGATATATTATAAAATCAGATAAGGACTTGCAAAAGTTATTCTACTTGTTTACACTACTAGATTTCGATAACAAAATCAGGAATGGTGAAAAACTGCATGATTTTGAAAGTTTTTTTGCCAGGAGGGGGCTAGAACCCCTCGACACCCCCGCCCCTTAGCTGGTGACAATTGACCATTTTCCATATAAATAGAAAAATAGATGGCATCACCGGTGTTGGTAGGGCTAGAATATATGGAAATGTATTGCCTGTGTCACTTAGTTTCTTTTTAACAAGTTTGGATCAACCTAATGGAATCTAAGGGACATGTATATGATATATATATATATATATATATATATATATATATATATATATATATGAGTTAGTTATTTTCAAAAGGTGGAGTGAACTATAGTACCTAGTTTAGTCAATAGAGGGAATAGTTATCTGTTCCCGGGAAAGTTTCCCCGGGAATTGTTACTCCAACTGAGTAATTCAGTCAGTAAATTGGCTTACACTACGATACAATTTCGATCCCAGCATTTTTTTGTATTATGCATGCGTTCTATGTGTAGGATTGGATAGTTTTTAACAACACGTGTCACTCGTCGGGAGAGGTGTACTGTGATAAGTTGCACATTCAATATCGCAATTATTTGGCCTTTTTGAATTTAACAACTTTGACAACACTGGCGGATCCAGATGAAAATTTAAACCCCATTTTTGAAAATTTGGCCTAAAATGCCAAATCATGCCCAAAGAGAATCATTTTTGAGGCCATATGTAACTTTCGAGCAAAACGATTTTTGGGCTCCTACAAAAAAGGGGGGGGGGCGCAAGATGGATCTGGATCCGCCAGTGGGATGATAACAAAAATAGGCGTATAGCTAAATACGGTGAACAATCGTAGAACTCCTGATATGCCCGTTAATTTCATGATTTACGTATACAGTATATAAGTACAATTAGTACGCTATGAACGCATTCGTTTATTTGACTTGGAGCAGAATTCAAGCACATATGCAGAATACGGCGGTATGATCTTCCATTGTGTGTTTCATCTGGACGAACCCCCGTCCTCAACATAATATAATATGAAGTATTGCTGCCCTTGTTCGAACCCCAATACTCGAAAACCCATTATTACACCGAAATCAAATAATACGGAATCCAATACTCTAGAAAGATAAATCAATTAAACTTTATGAGAATGACGTATACAGTTTGCTTAGCGTCCCGGAGGTGGGGATGGAGAAGGCGTGGCTTCCCACGGCAGGGAAGGACAATTTTACAAAAAAGTTCAAAACACAGCGTGTATTTAATTAATTTTGTTAGCGTATATATTTTCATTAAGTTAAAAATATTCAAAAGCAGTTTAAAGATCAGTAAAACATGCAATGAAAATACATTTAGGAAATATACATTTAGACGGATCTTCAATCTCCTTTATGGCATAGTTGAATGATACGTTTAGAAACTAAAAAAACTAAGTGTAATGTATATAGAACTCTATAAATTGACATTAAATAATAATCTGCCAAGATTTATTAAAAGTTCCAATATAGCAAATATCTGCCTTCATCAAAACTGGTCATTCTTAGTTCATCTGAGTAACCTGGTCATAACCGCGATATTTAAAACGCCGCCAAATCCAAACAAATCTACTAAGGGTTAGAGGAATTTCTAAATAGCTTTGGAATCTTTGTCATTTAAAGGACATGCGTTCATTAAAACTAGTCTTTCTTAGTTCTTCTAAGAAAGACTAGTTTTAAGAAGTAAATAGCCGCTATATTTAAATCGCCGCCGAATCTTAAGGAGTCCCGGCATTATGAACGAATCTACTAAACGCAGTTTCGCGAACTGGATAAATGGTCAATTCTGGGAACAGAATCATAGATATAATGAAGAGGTTTCGCACAACAGGTTAACCAAATAGGGGGATATTGGAGTGAAACCCCCGGGAATAATCTCAGAGTTTAAAGATGACATACGCTTAATTATAATGTAAATTTGTTTCTGATGGTCAAAATCTACAAAAATGGCAGCCTCAGAATTTTTATATGATTCGAATAATATTAGGCCAATGTTCATTTCTGGAGAATTTAAACAATGTCATAGGAAGGTGGCAAGCAAAATACGTAATTATGTCTGGTATCGTCTAAGCCTTTGGGGTTCCCCACCTCTTGGGTTAGCTGAAACGTACCCGTATTCGTATATTTCATTACGTTTACGAATACGATATTTCGATAATTTTTGTTTCGCAGTACGTTTTTTGAAGTACGTAATTTTGAACGCATCTCAATCTGCGGCTATTATTATTGCCATGGGCTTTCACTAGTTGAAAGCCCATGGTATTGCGAACTAGTGTCAAATAAATGGCCTCGTTTGCTTTCAGGTTCCAATTCGTCGGTAGTCTAAGCTTTTAAAATCCCACCTCCATTCGAATTTTTGGTAATGCAAAAATAGGCATTAACCTTTTTCATCCCAAAGAGGGTCATTTATTAATTTTATTTAATCACTTTCAAAATAAACGATTTCTAGGTTTACACTAACTAATTCAGTGAAAAGTATACTTTGTAGAATATTTAATTTTATGAGTCATAACTCAGATAGGCTTAGATAGTGTTCATAAATGCAGTGACTCCATTATGCTACAAAATACGTAAACAATTTTGTTATAGGTAGAATTTTCTTTTGAGAATATTAAGATTGCACTAAGTGTGTATTGACTTAACATAAAAATATACACCATTGACTGTATATCTAAAAACTTCCAAGTTGACAACCAGAATGCAAGATGGCCGCCGAAAGGTTAATCAGCTCAAGAACTTCTTACCATGTAATATGTGTGAAATTTAAAGTAAATCTGTCTCATGATTTTCCTGGAATCGTGATAACAAGAAAGTGCATGAGACCTCAACCGCACGCCGTCCTCCCGTTAAGCTGACGGCAATATCATACCTTTTTTAGGTGCGATAAAAGCCTTCTTTAACTGTAAACAACGCCAACTAAATAACAAAATCAGACACAACCAGATACCTCATCCGACTTGGCACAACCTGCTACCCAACCAGCGCTGCATGACAACAACAGAACACAATCCATTATAAAATTAGCATGACGCAATGGGACACGGAACCAATACAAGACAAAAACACTTAAAGAAAACCGACTGTCAAACTAACTGACACAACACAATTAGGCACAACCAACAATATACAACCTCTAACATACCAATATACACAACAAATCCTCATCCAACTTGAGATAACACTAGTCACACAGATGGACACAGTCAAATACCTCACCGGAATTGGCACAACCTGCTACCCGACCAATATAATATAGCGCAGTCAGATGTCCAGAAATGAACCCTTTATAGTTCATCTTTCCAGGAAAGCAACAAACTTGGCACAGTTGTAGAAACACTTGATCTGAGTGGAAAATGATTTCGTGGCAAGTGATCCGGGGTGGTCTTCGTGGATTTTTTAGTCTCTGACCCCCACCCCTATCAGGCGGGGAGGGGGTACATAATAAAAAATAAATAAAAATGGTTTTGAAGTAATTTTTTAAATGACTTCATTTTGTTGATTGCTTCGAGCCTTATAATTGAGACAAACCAATTGCAAAAGTGGTGTTTAGTGAGGAAAATACATTTTGACCCAATTATCTAGCGTGAATTCATCTTTTAAGGGGTCAAATATGGGACATCAAGTACTGTATTTCATAGGATGGGCCAAGAAAATAATGTTGGCCCATATTGTAGGGCCTCTTTAGTGGGCCTTTTGGGCCTTACTTGACCTTTTTGGGCCTTATTTTTCAATGTTATGCCAAATTTTCAAAAAGCTGGCCATAAATTTTAATTTTGGCACAAATTTTGGTTTTAGGGCCCTAAAAAGTTTTTTCATGACTTGAAGTGTGGGCCCCCCTTGTTAGCTTCCGGATCCGCCACTGTCTTTTACAATACAAAGGGGCTTGGTTTAGCATGGGGAATTTTTTTTTTTTGGGGGGGGGGGGTTGCGGGGGGGGGGGGGTTCGAGCCCCCCCTTACAAAAAGCTGGCTACGGGTATGAATAACAATAGTAAAATGCTAATGGACTTCATGAGACCAACATATCTTGTAACTGGAACTGAATATATGTTGAAAGCAATACAAGTTATGGGGAAAATACGTCGAATTATACGAAATACTTACGTCTTCTGCTAGCCAAAATGGCCTCAGCCGGGACGAATCTAAATTGCGAATGGTCTATGTGGAACGAAACTGTAGCAATTTCTATCAATGCAATATCATTTATGGAATAAATAGTCTAAATAGTCGATCAAAGATCATTTATAATTCAAATAACCATGCATAAAGAATTTGTTTTCAGTGAAGTCGAGAAGAATTGAGTCCATCTGAACCGACGCTCAATCACTTTGTCCATTGGTGTCAAACGTCACGCACGTTAGAATTTTATTGGTTCTATTCTATTTTCTGCATACAATAATTGACGAAATTTTCTGAACTGTGAAACTGAGATTAGACAAAGCAATAAAAATCAGTGCTTGGCACTCCTGACAAGACTATTGACATAACCATTAACATAAGGACAAGATGTACATCTTTTATAACGTGCGTAATTGCTTGACACGAACACTTTTATCACATATAAATTAAGCTATGGTGTCAAAAAACAGATTAATGACGAAAACAACCTCAATATTTGCTGATTCCAGATGAATGTTCCCTTTCTTACATTTAGGTGTGTGTGAAAATCGTTTTATATCAGCGAGAAATTTAAGTAATTCGTTAATGCGAGAGTATGGCGGATTAACGTGCGTAACGAAGTTTGACACCAATCTTCGAGCAACTTATAAAGACCATATTGCCGCTTCAGAGTTGAAACTTACCACTGGATCTATAACATCGCGTAAATGTGTAAATAAAATACAATTTCATTTACACATGTGATCGCGTATTTTGTATGAAAATAGGCTTTCTAACGTGCGTGACGAGTTTGACACGAAAAACGATAATGCACGCAACTGAGCATAAAAATTATTTTCCATATATACTTCATATAGCATTGAACACAATGAGAGCTCGGTGTATCCTCCTTTCGAAAAAACACTCATCTG